AAGAAAGAGAGAGAGAGAGAGAGGTGGCAGGTCCTGCCGTGAGATTGCCATCATCCAATCAGCCGAGTCACGACTCAGAAGTCTCAAGTCCCAACTCTCCAGTTCCGAGTTCCCGAATTCAGGCAGAACTTATTAAAAACGCATTCAGGTCATCGCACCAGCAGAAGAATAAGGAACTCGAGTAACAGTAACAGAGGGGGAAGAGACCGGGGCAGAAGAACGCCTGAAGAAAGCCATCGATGGGGAAGGATCCGAAAAGAGTGACTCCCGGGTATACAAAAACACAAGAACATATGTGCATATACTATATACTCGTGTGCTATTTACAAACTTCAGATATATACTATATATATATTTTATATAATATATATTTTAAATAATTAAAACATTTTAACTTTTTAAATACAAAGTTTCAAGGGACTAACAAGAAGTGAAACCCTTATTTAGAGGGCTTTCTACCTTTTATGGAAATACCATGTTACAAACTTCATAAAAAAAATTTTAAAACTGTGTTTAAAAAAATACAAAATTTTTAAATACCAGGTTTCATGGGATTAACAAGAAGTGAAAATCTAAGATAGAGAGCTTTCTAACTTTTATGGAAATACCATGTGATAAAATTATAGATTTCTTTGAAATTACAGAAGAATGCCAACGAAAAGTACTAAGAAACTGTAAAAAATTTGTAGAATGTTAGGAAAACTTTGAAGACGAACAAGTTGCAGCATCGAGGGGTTGGACGCACTTCAGTTGCGATGACGTCAGCGCTAGCCAAAATCCGAAAAATCCGCAATGGACGCAATAAACAACCATGTTCCGTTAAGATTTCAAAGTACGCACTCACCATCGTCGCATCAAACCACCCCCACCCACTCTATTTGTCCTTGTTCCGCGACGGGACGATTACAGCAACAACTGGCGGGGGAAAGGGACGGGAGATGCCAGAATAGAGACACACGAGGGTTGCAATCTAATGAAATAATAATAATAAAAAAGTAAATAAAGCAAAGGGCAAAATTTAGGTGGAGAGGGGGCACGGGGGAAAGGGGGAAACGGAGCGGAACGGAAGGAAAAGGAACGGGGGGGAGTGGGCCAAGTCCCGTTTATCATTCGCAGCCGCTTTTGATCCTCGAACGGTAATTGCCGAGTGGCGGGGGTGCAAAAGAGATGGCGAATGCGTAACGGGACACCCCCCGAAAAGCGAGGAACACAGTGGAATGGAACGCCCACTGTGCGTTCCATCGCGTTCCCCATCCCATTCTGTCCCACTTCAGCTCAATCCATCCCACACATAAAGAATATTTGATATATTTCCTGATTATGCAAATAATTATTGTAATTTGTAATGTAATGAGGGGAAAAAAGGATATTTTTATTTAAACTAAACAAGAAATAAATACTTATAATTAAATGCTTGTCTACTTAAAATGTTTTTTTTTTTAATTGTCAAAAATCAAAACGACTACTTCCTAAAAAGTTACAATGTTTCTCCTATTGTTTTTTCGATTATTCCTCTTTGAGCCATAAGATATAGTGGTTAGTTTCATCGCGATTCAAAATGAGGAAATCGTTCAAACTTTCTAATTTAAATAATTTTACAGTAGTTTGTTTTTGTGCTGTGATGCAAAAAAAGAAAGAAATTAAAATATATTAACTCGAGTTAAATATTAGAAAAAGTTTTTTCAGTACAGTAATTTGCCTTGAGGCATTGTATTTTAAACTTTTTTTTACTGTGCACTCAATACCATCCGAACCCAGCCATCCCAAATGGAAATCGCAGCATGGCAACGCACAGGACGCACACAAAAATGCGTCGCAGTTGCCTCAGGGGTGGGTGGTGGCTTTCCCTTCCCTTTCCCTTGCCTCTATTGTGAACCCTTACCCTCGTCCTTTCTGCATTGCAGGGGAGGCAACTTGGCAGCGCGACTAGGCTAGAGCTATGTAGCTAGAGCCCAGGGCCCAGAGACCAAAACCCAGACTCAAGCCCAGCCGGCTGTAAACATTCCTGGCAGACGCAGGAACGCATCTCAACCACAGCGAACAAATTGAGGGGCTTTTGGGGGTTGGGGCTCAACAGCCCACTGATGTGTCCGAATAGATTTCGACTCATTGAACACCTTTTTGAGTACTTTTGATAAGACCCATTAGATATGTCCTTGAAATGATTGTAGTTTCCTCAAAATCTTTTTCTTACTTTTAAAAAGGATATTATATTATAAGATATATGTTGATGTTTGATCATGAACTTGGCGTAAGGAAGGAAATCATTGTAGATATGATTGTTATATAAAAATGTAGGATCCATCTGAAAACTTTAACTTTAGTACACCGAAAAAAGTCTAGTTTAACTCCTAAAACTCGTCCAGTACGAAAGTTTGGTATTGAATAAATACTAAATAATATAGAGATTATTATAAAATATTAATGTCCTACTAAATATCATAAAATGTATATTTCCTAGCTTACATTTTATACTGAAAGTTGAATTATAACACTTCCGAAAGTATTAATTTAATTCTCATCTTATAAAGATATTTTTAAAAACTAAATAGATTAGAATTAATATACGATTAGTTTAGTTTCTATGATCATTTTTGTTTCGGTGTACCTAAAAGACCAACTAGAACTTTTTAACTCGAAGTCAACAAATAGTAAATACAAATAGTACAAATAGTAATAAATATTACCTTAAATTCCTTAATCAGTAACCCCTAGTTGGTTTCCATCAGTTGAGCTTAAAGTTGAACTTCGATGGAAGGATCTCGCGATGAAAAATGCAGCTTAAACGTAAAGTGGGTGGCTGAAAGATTTAAGCATGGCTGGTGGGTTTCGGTTTGGGTTTGGGTTTGGTTTTGGGTCTGGGACATTCCACTTATTTTGCACCCATCGCCCCTGTCCAGAGGCGTACGGCCACATCCTCGACCTTGTCCTTGTCCCGTATTTTGGGGTTGAAAAACTACGCAAGTTTCGCTCGAAATTCGGAAACGGGACGCAACCAGCTTGTGTGTGTGTGAGTGTGTGTGTGCGTGTGGGCTGAGTTGGGTTGGTAACAGTCGGATATATGTATATGTATAAATATATATATATGTAGGTATATAATATTGTGTGTTTGCTGTTGCTCTGGGGTGCGCATCGGATTTAGCTAAACGAGGAAGCAGCGACAAAGAGGAACGGGAAAATGTAGGAAAGCAGGAAGTAGAAATTTCGAAGCCAGCAAGGTCAGCGAGGGAGGGAGACGGCTGGAGTAAGACAGAGAGGGACAGAAAGATAGAGAGAGCCTTTCAAGATTCTGACTTTTCCTAACCCACAATCGTTGTGATCTTTTTATCAAATCTAGTTGGAAAATATATATTATTTATAATAATAATATAATTTATATTTTTCTTAAATAATTTTAAATAAAAAACAAAGTTTACGAACGCTGTCCCAAAACTCCCGAAAATAACTATAAAAAACCATTGCATACTTTCTGGAGTTTGAATGGGGTAAACTAAGTTCGTTATTGCGGCTATAATATTTATCGGATCAATATGAAATTTGGTATGTGGGTAGAGTAAATATTAATAAATCAAAAATGCCTTATTAAAACAATCTATTTGCTGTATTAATCATTATAATCATTTATTAAAACATTAAAATATGATGCGGGGCAGTAAGTATCGAGGTACTAATGGAGTGCTTCCTTGTTCAAAATTTAATTAGTTCCCATACCTGGTTTATTTTCGATTGCCAACATTCAAATGGCAATCGTAGGTGGAATAGAATCCACAATTCCAATTCCCCCAGAGACAATTTTCCTTTTCGTGTTTTTCTCCCCATAGATATCTCAAAATGTAAGTCTTGCCTTTGTAAAGCAGCTGTGGCAGTTTGAATTTTCCTGACATTTTCACGAGCCAGCAGACAAAACAGACAGTGCGATTGGAATAAGAAGGGACCGAGGGAGAGAGGAAAGCAGAGGAGAGGAAAAAGAGAAAAGCGGAGAGAACAGAGAGAGAGGGAGAGGGAAAAACGTCAGCGTCGCTGCCAAGGGCCACCCTTGTTTTCCGAGTTTTTCCCCGAGTTTTCCGCTTGGGACAATGAATTTTCGCTTTTCACATTTCACACTCACCCCCGTCGCAGCTGCGTCGACGTCGACGCCAGCGCCGGCTGCGCTGCCAACAGCAAGCCGGTCCAAACCAATCAGATGGAAAATATTCGTTTATCCGTTTCGTTTTTTGGATGATTTTCCTTTCGGCTGGAGAGCCTTGTGGAACAGCAGTGAAAAGTACAGGTCCAACAGCTGGCACAGTGATCACCAGAGGCACTTTGCTGACCCAAAAGGGTCCAGGGTTCAAATCCAAGGGATAAATAAAGTTATTGTATAAGTTTAAAATATTTAGACATCTCATCGCCTAATTTTAGTCTGTTAAAGTAAGAAAATACCTTAAATAGTTGGTTTAATTAGCAAGAATGTTGAAATTTTTTTATATCTATATGAAAAATCTATAAAACTCGCCCTAAAAATTAAGGAGTAAGGCTAAAGCATCCAAATTGGAACCAAGTGTTCCTAGACTAGTAGGATAGAGAAGGATATGCTTAGAAATATTTTAATAAAAAATAAATAAATTAATTTAAATCTGAAAAAAAAAAATTCTTTTGAATGTTGAATTTTTTTAAGACATTTTAACTTGCTAAAATCAGAAGAAATCCTGTGTGGCGAATATCTGGCTGTTCTTTTTTTTTTAGTACATCTCTAGAGGGTTAAGATCATTGTTTTTTTTTTGGTGTAAGCCGGCTGCTGCTCTGTAAAGCGGATAAGACGGATAGACGCTCACACGTACGCAGGAGCAGGGTCAGCCATTTTGGTTTACAACTTTCACTGCTTGGATGGGTGGGAAAATGCGACGCCGCCGCCAACGCCGCTGCCGCTGCTGCTGCTGTGCGGCGGCAGAGGGACAGAGAGCAGAGTTTTCCTCGCATTTTCATCGGGCGCAGAGCGGACACCTTGGAATTGGGATCCGTATATCCGGCAGGCAGTTCACTCGTCGCCGTTGCGTCAGTTTGTTCGACTCTCGACTCTCAGCCCACAGCTCACAGTTCACAGTTCACAATTCACGCCGCGTCGTTTACAGCTAAATAGCTATCGAGATAGTTTTCAGATAGATTCAATTCAGCCGCCGCCGTTGTCGCCGCCATTTGCGATTTTTGTTGTTTTTTCTTCCATGACCAAAAGTGACACAAAACAAAAAAATACAAGAGAAAAACAAGTGAAAAGCCCAAGGGAGAGGCGAAAAGAAAAGTGCTAAATTGATGAATTCAACAAAAATACAAGTATTCAACGGGAATTCTTGAGGTTTAAGAAATACATCAAAGTGTAAGTGAACGAGAAGGAGAGGAAGAGACAGAACCAGAAAGAGAGAGAAGGAGAGAGAGATAGAGAGAGGGTGACAGGGAGGGGAAGAGAGTGTTTTTCCAGCCCTACTTACTTTGTACGCACTCACGCAGCTGCTGCCGTCTCGCTCGCTCCCACACACTCGAACGCCACCCACCCACCGCCACCCACCCACAGAGTTGTCACCTACGCAAAAATCAATAACGAAAGCAAATAAAATAAAATCCACATCGACAGCGAAAACAAGCCAAGGAAATATTACTTCCGGTCGAAATCAATCAATGGAAAAATCAATCATAAACTCATAAATACATATATACAGGACCATCAAAATGGTTCCTATATTTTCGTAAGCCTTTAAGTGGGATTGAATAAAAACTAAGGGGGAGAAAGGCCCATTTAGCATCATACAATATGGAATATTCTAATATTCGAATAGTGTGCAAATAGGATACCTTTTTAATATTATATCTAGGTCTTACCAGATGTTATTCCTATTCCAATCATGGAATTTCGAAATTTTTCAATTACAATTATTTGAGAATGAAAGATATAATAATATTCTATGATTTTGAACATCGAAAATATTTTTTTTCGTATTTTTTAAAAAAGTAGAACTTATGTTCGCCTTGTTTTCCTTTCCAAACTTCATGTAAATTGTATGATAACAAGATGTCATATTAAAGTTGTGGGTGTACTGGCACCCCAATCCTCAGAAACCACTGCCTCTGCTGTCAAACCCAGCTGCCAAAAGGCCCCTACAAATTTTCACTTTCTCACAATTCTGTTTCAATTTTTTTCTCGCTCAAAAAAAATCAAAAATTTACCCAAAATCAAAAATATACACTCACACAGACCATAACAAGACAAGATACCGAAAAACAAATAACAAAACCCAAACAAAATAAAACCAGAAGAAAGCAAAGTAAAGCAAAGGAAAGGAAAGGAAGGCAAAGGAAAGGAGAAAGGAACGAGGGGCACATGAACAGATCGAAATCCAACCGATTCACTATCTCTCATCAATTAAAAATCGTTCATAGGTTTAACATCCAACCAAAGGATCTTCACGAGCCCCCTGATTCTTGATCTTAGAGTCCTATCCCAAGAAAAGAGCCAAAGAAAAGCCGCAGGACTCTCAAATTCCCCGAAAAGTTAGCACCACTCCCAAAATTCAAACCCAAAGCCTGACATATCCATCATCTCTCAGTTAGCGACGTCCACCGATGAGGGTAGAACCGAAAACCGATAACCAGAAATTGGAAACTTAGGAGGATCAATAGCCAGGAAAGAGTCGAGATCTCGGGAGTATCGTTTATAGAACCTTAGCCTCAAGCAGTTTCAACCCACATCCTATCTATCAATCAATCGGAGGTCAGCGGTTCAGCCAACTGAATCTGTAAGTATCCATAGGTTCATCGGAAAGTTCACTCATTTGAGTTTATCGCAATAATCCTTGTAATATCTGAAACATGCGAAACTCTTTTTAAAGGATAACTTTAAGTTTATGATAGGATAGTGGCAGTACTTAGTTCTGATCAGTCTATTTATAAGTCAGCATCAGGGATTCCTAATTGGAATTAAAATCTTGTGGTAATCTTGTGATGTTATAAGGTTTATAGGGATTCTATTTAATTCATTATAATATGAACCCCCAACTAGAAAAGTAATATTCAAAATCTCTTCTATGAGTTGTATTTTAGCTTAGAGAAATGGGATCAATTAAAAACCTATAACTTAGTTCCTCTGTCTGTCTTTCATTCATATTTCCGATGAGAAATTCCGTATTTTTTTTTTGTGCTCCCACTGCAACATTGTAGCAATGACACGGCGACTACAGTGAGCTCTCCCCAAGTGGGATAATAAATTGTCGTGGATCAAAGCGAAAGCGCAACCGAATGGGGCAGGCTCCGCTGTAGTTGAACGTTGAACGAGGAGGTTGCGTGTTCGGCGTCTATTTTAAATGTCGACGGCGCAAGATGCGCGTGGCATGAATGAAGCGTCTGTCCCGCCTTCTCTTCCTCATTCCTTTCATCCCATTTCCACTCCCATTCTAATCTGGCTCGTCTGCGTCTAAATTTAATACATTCTCAAGTGAGGCGGCGAATTCATGGAAGATGCGAATAAAATCGGATCAATTTTAAAGTTCAACAGCCGGTGAAAAAAAAGAGAGAGTGAAACAGTGGGATGGAAATGGCCAAAAAGGGGGTTATATATAGTATATATATGAGGTGGGGCCAAAATTAGAAGCAGACTGACAAAGCAAATTCCTTAGCGTTTCGAAGGGAGGTTTGTATCTTATAGATGCTCCTCCGTCTTTAGTCATTTTATGGGGGTGGCTCGAGTATTTGCGATCTGTACTTTCTAACCTCTTTTAAATTGTAAGAGCTTTGATTCTTTCCTTTCTGTAAGATGCTCTATTTTTTATCTCTGAATAGCTTTCTTCTTTTGATTCATATAAAACTACCTTTTATAACCTTAAAGCTTTGCCTTAAATACCTCTTTTGATCAGTAAACCCCCAAAATTTCTTCTTTTGGGAATGATAGTATTTCCCTGAAAAAATTTGGTTCTTTGTTATGCTAATTTTCATGATTAGAGATGTTAGTTATCCACTTGGATGTTTGTCATGCACTTGAGGGCGCTCCGTATCCGCCGATCTTCATATCCATCCATCTATCTCGTTCTATTTGCGGCAACTGTACCTCGTTAGCGCTCCTTTGACGCGCGTTGTCCTTGAGGCAGCTCTCTAAGAAAGCTTAGGTAGGCAGACAGGCAGCTTTCGCAGCTGTTGCCTGCCTGCCTGGCTGCCCCTCATCCGCCGCTCCCTCCCTTGGGCACTCCTTATCTAGTCCTTAAAGGTGTCCTGTAGCCAAACGAGCAAACGAGCCGTGGCTCCTCGACCCCAGGCCCATCCCTCAATCCCTGGCACTTCGCGTCCGATTGTTTAATGTCCTGTTTGGCGGCGAGTGTGTGCGTTAGAGTCAGGACATCGCCGAGCTAACCCTAGAAATTGCGAAAAACTAACTTGATTTCAGATTATGGAAAGCTGAAAAAATTTAGAAATTACTTTGCATAACTTTTTTCCACTAACTTGTTTTTATTATAATGCAAACTTCTTTCTTTAGAACTGTTTTCCTTCTTCTAATTTGTTTTAAATGCACAGATGATTAAACAAATTGGTTCTATAGGTTATTAAAGGTATTAAAGATTACCTTTAGCTGTTTTCAACAAATACTTAAATATTTGATGGAAAACTGGTTTTGCAAAGGGCCTTTCTGCTTTGTAGGATAATAATAAAAATAATTTAATCGTATATTTGAACAAAGCAAATAGTCATGAGTCACTATCTTAAACAGTAAATACAAATGTGGGGATTAATGCAAATTTTTTTAAGGAGAAACACCTCACATATGCTGCCGAATAAAATGGAATCCGTTTCACCGAAGAGTCCTCCCAGCACACGAACACTTTTCTGTATGCACTGGCGGCCCGGTTCGTGTGCATCTCAATCACATTTGACTGCGTTCGCCATGGCAGTCGGGGAAAAGCGTAATCAACCACTGGGCCACAGAACCACTGGAGTGCTGACACCACTGAACCACCGACACCACCCACAAGTGGCTAAGTGGACGGACATACGGACAAGCGGACAAACGGACAAATGGACATACGGACAAACGCATTCACATAGCTCTCGACGATTTTATTCGCAGTGGCAGGACGAGAGTTTCTGCCCTCTCTCTTTCACTCACTCGAAAGGGGTAGTGGGTGGTGGGTGGTGGGTGGTTAGGCCTCGTGTTGCATACTTTCGAGGGGTTGCTGTTGCACTTTGCTGCGCGCGCGCCATTTTCTGCGTTCGCAACCGGAAGAAAAGGGAGCAGAAAAAGTGCAACTGCAACAGGCGTTCGCCATTTGCCGGCGGCTGGAAAGAAAAAGGGAAAAACAAGCGAGGGGGGGCGGAGGTCAAGCCCGCCCACCCCGGGGGTTATAACCTTTGGCAGGATGATGTTGCAACCGCAGGAGTCGCCACCCCTCGAGAGCTTCTCGCTTGTTGTTGCTGGTGGTGGTTGAGAGACCCTTGCCGCCGTTGCACTTTTGTTGCAAATTGCTGGCGAGGACAAAAAGCTTTACAAGCCTCGCCACCTCTAATTGGCTTGTCGCGGCAAAAAGGAGGCAGGATGTGCAGACGCAAGGATGCGAGAGGCAAGGGTAGAACTAATTTAAACCATGTACGATGTACCGGCACCCTTGGGTTACCACCCTTTCGTCGAGATATGTACGTATGAGGCCTATTAAACGTCAATTAATGTCACCTTCAACAACTGCAATTGCTGCAGTTCGCCCATCCTTCGTTCGCTTCGTTCTTGGTCCTTCAACCCTGGACCCCTACCCCTACCCCTACCCCTACCCTACGCTTTCCCTGGCCAACCCTACCCTCTCGATTGTGATTTTGTTTTGATTGCGACGCGTGCAGGGCCTTAAGTTGGCGATGAGGTGCGATGGGATGGGATGGGGCTATATAGAGAGGGTCAGAGTGCACTGTTGCATGCAACAAGTGAGCTGACACAACCAGAACCGCTCTATTGTCGCCAGTTGAATGCATCTTCGTGGGTAGAACGGGGTAGAACGAGATTTAAGTTGTCCATTTGATTTTTCAAGGCATTTCAACACGTTGCGTGTGATAATGACATCCTCTTAGGAGCAAATCGACGATGCTAACTGAAGTCCGTTTCCAGTACTTAAAAAAAAGCTTAAAGTTATTTATAATTAAAGATATTGCCAAGCTTACCTTCGAAGAGAATATTCTTTCTTAGCGTATATTTTAAGAACTTAAAGAATTTCTTTTTCTATCTTCCTGAATTACAAATTTCAAGACGTTTTAGTCGTTTAAGCAATTAGAAAATAAAGTATAGTAAAAGGTAGTAAGAACTGTTAAAAAGCATAAGACGATCGTGTTTAGATTATCACAATGTTATCCAGTTTTGGTTGCAATAAAACGATTTAAAAGCTCAAAATTTAATAACCAATCCTTTAAGGATTAAACTAGATTTATAACTTGAATGAGAATCATAAAGGAACGTCGCAAGAAAAAAGTTCTAGTAATAGATCGTAAGTGAAGCTTGATTTGTGGTTTCATATTTATGTATGTTAACAAATTATATTAACAATATTCTTGTAGTTAAGGTTTCCAAAAAACAAATTCTAAATTTAAAAAAAAAATTGTAGACTGATTAGGGAGTTCTTTAAAAGAAATTCTACTGTTATAAACTTTTCAGCGCTAATCGCAGCTTTGGACTTGAACTTGTGGCTCAAGCTCAAGGACATTGTACTAACTTTCCCCCCTCCGATTTCCCCTCCACCTCCCCAACTAGGATTCTATGTGAAACTCGCTTTAAGTGTCCTTTCCCCACCCCCTCTCCCTCTGCCACCCCCCTCCCCCCTCTATTCGTTTTTCAATTTTTCGGCTGCTTTTTGCGTTTCTTCTTTTTTCTAAGAAGAAAAGAAAAAAAAAGAAAAAAGCAGCAACAACAAGAACGCCGGTATACAGCAGCAGCTATTGTGTGTTCGCAGTTCACTTCCTTTGCCGCTTCCTTCTTCCTTTTTGGTTTTCAGTTTCCAGAGCTTAAGCGCCGTCGTCATCGCCACACTCACACACACACAGGCACCTCTCGTGTGCGTGAGTGTGTGTATCCATGTGTGCCTCGTTTTTTGGCAACGCCAGCAGCGCAGTCAGCGTCGACGTCGACGCCGGCAGCGATGTGAAGAAAAGAGAGATAGAGAGAGCCAGTCCTGGGCATTGTGCGTCTCGCTCGCACGTGCTCCTTTGAGCAGGGGGGGATTTGAGTTTGATGGGGGAAGGGGGGCAAGGGGGCGAGGGCAACACACGCGCGTCTTTTCTGAGCCGCTTTTTTGAGTGAGTTTTCGGTGAGTGCGAGAGACGAGCGCGTGGAGACAGGAATTCGAATTCTTTATACAGTCCAACTTCCATAGCTGGAACATCCAGTATCCAGGCAAAGTATCTTCCACTCGAGCTGGCTCCCTAAATTAGACCTAAATATGGGTCGAATAAGTAACTAGAATTTACCCACTCAAGACGACCCCTAATACCTGATGCATCCTTAAATATAAACGAATTTCTAATACCTCCTTCGTTTAATCCCCATTAAAACTATAGTCTTCCCCACTATTCAAGTTAAAATTTATTGCAAGCCGGTTTCTTAAACTTTTTAACTGGATATATGGCGAATATGAACTAGTTTTAGAAAAATTCAAATAATAAAAAAAATCAAAAATGTAATATTTTAAGCATTCTCACAACACGTTTCTTAAAAACAACAATGTCAAGGCTTAGGCCATTCTTTGAATTTAATATCTAAATTATCTAAGTACAAATATGTTTTCAAACCTTTAACTACGATATTTTGTATCATAACTTTAGCTTTGTGTTATTTTGTGTTTGATAGCTTGCTAGACAATTAATCTATTTTAAAATGACCTTAATACTTATAATTCATTTCTGTAACTAAAGTAGCTTTTAAAGAAGTAAAAAGCTGTTCTTTGTAACAGTATCCTATTAAATTTCGATTTCAATGCAGATTTTAATATTTAAACGTATAATTTCTTAGGTTCTTAACAAACTGTGTGAAATCATACGGCAGTAGAACAACTTGTTGGAATTGGATTAACGCTTTGATTTGAGGTTCTAAAAGGTATTCTTGTAAATCATTTGGGTAGATAAAATAAATACAAATGCAAGATTGGCTAAAATATCTTGGATTGTACCGCCGAGTGACTATTCTCGCTAAAAGATACCACTAGATAGTTAGGGATATCTCAGGATCTTCATCTACTCGGAGCTTTCTTGATAACCCAAGTGAACTAAACCTCCATTTTAGATTTCATCTGTCTCATTGTTAGCTTTAATTACCGCTTTTATCAATTTCCGAAAAGCGACGGGTGGAAAGAAGAAGACGCCCAAGTCACTCGCACTCAACACTCGCCGCCTCGCTCGCACTCGCACTCACTCACTCGACTCGACTCGAAAAACTCTCGCCGAAAAATTTTCGGCAATCCGGCACGCACACCAATGCAATTTCTCAGTTTCTTAGTCTTTTGCCTTTGCCTTTGCTTCTCCCCTCTCTCCGCGCCGCTCCAAGTGCCTGCGAGTGTGTGTGTGTGGCTCGTATCTGTGTTTAGGAATTTCGGCAGCGGAGAAAAAAAATGTGAATTTTCGAGTGAAACTGTGGCTGTGCGCTCGGTCGGCAGTTCAGTGTCTGAAAACGCTCCTAACTGTAAGCAACGTAGCGTCGCGACTCGCGGGCTGCCCCAAATAATATACAAAAAAGGCAAAAAGGCAGAAAGAAATTGTACAAAGAAAAAATAGCCGAATCGAAAAACACCGAAAAATACACCAGAAGAAGCAGCAGCAACAGCAGCCTTGAATCAATATCAATTTTTTCTGTGTTACACTTGGTTTACTTTGTGCCCGCCGTGCCATTTTCCGTTCATTTTCCGTTTTGCGCGCCACGGACACTTGGATACACGGATAACGGAAACGAGTGTCCGAATCCGCCGTTATAAACTATCTCCACCGCTGAGAAAAATAGAGGATGGGGGGTGGTGAATAACTGGGGGCTCGTGGGGGGTTTCCGTGTTTTTTTTGTTGCTGCTGCTGCTACTTTTTTCGTGGCATATTTTTTGACTTTGACTTTAATTCGTTTGCCTTTGCCTTTGCTTTTTTCCTTTGCCCCTGTCCCTGTGTTTCTGTAAGCGTGTGTGTGTGCGAAGGCGTGTGTATGTGTGTGTGTGTGTGTCGGCAACAACAACAACAAAGATTGTAATACGCTTTTTTTTTCTTATTTTTCCTGATAACATTTCCAATTTTCGAATCCCCAACAAAACAAAAAGTGTGGCCAAAAACAGAAATCTCCCGAAATTACAAACAAACAAAATCAAAAACCGCGCACCGACAAAAACAACAATTCTTTTTTTTTTTTTTTTGAAGGCACTCTGACATCATCTGCAAAGCTCCACTCTCCACTGCGCGAAAAAAAGTAACACCAAAAATTCAAAAAGATAAAAACAACAACACCTCTTAAACATCAAAAAGCAGACAACAAACAACATTTCGACAGCAACAAATGAAAAGTAAGCCAAAAGACAGAAAGACAGAGGGAAACAAAACAAACGACAGTCAGAAACAGAAATTTCCGCAATTTTTGGGCCATATGCGAAATGGTTTATTTTTCTTTCGCCTACTTATTCACCACAAAAAAGACAAAAAAAAAACCAAAAAAATGCCAACAACAACACTTACGCGCGCACACACACACACACACACACGAGAGCCAAGATCAAAGTCAACATGACGAAAAAAAAAGCTCGCGCTCTCTTTTTTTTGGCTGCTCTCACGCATAGTCCCGCATAAATCTCTTCTACTTGCTTCTAATGCCCCCGCGCTCGCTCGCTCTCTTTCACTCGGCGGCTCTCCCACGCCGCCTTGATGACGAAAGCAAATAGCCGACAAAAGAAAAGAAATGAAAAAGAAAGCTGACTTTTGCCGGCCGGCGATCGCGCAACAGCTGTTAATGTTAACCCTTGTGTGGGCGTGCTAGTTAACCCCCTCTCTCCCTCCGCTTCCTGAATGACCCCCCAGAACTAATTGCATTTTCACCGTCTCTCTCCACAGATAACTCTTTTTTTTGGCCCAATTGACACCAAAAACAAACAACAACAAACAAAAAGAAAACAAAAAACCACAAACCACTAATGTAACTTTTTTTGAAGCCCACAAAAAGGACGAGTTAAAAGAAAACGCAACGTTTCGAGCTAAAAAAGTTTAAATTAAACGCCCCGAAAAAATCGTAAAAGACAGTTGCGAAAAGCCGTGAAAAATCAAAATAAGAAATGCAAACGCGACTTTAATACAAATCCACTGACGAACGCTTGCTAAACGCTTTTTTCCCGGTTCAGCAGAGGTCAGCAAAACTTTCGACTCGGCAGAAATATATAAAAATTACCCAAAAAAAAAATTAAAAACCTATTACAAACGTAAAATCCGTCAAGGACATGAGTCAATCGAGTAATTGAGCGCGCTAAATTCAAAAAGTCATCATTCCACACGTAACAACCGAAAAAGAAACGAAAAAGAGTTGAAGCAGGAGTAAGAAGAAGACAAGCTGAAAAATACAAATATATAATATTAAAGATCGATTTCGAAATCTCCGAAACGCGTTTTCGAAAGCCACCTTCAAATTCTAAAGTGTTCGAGCAGCAAACCTCGGTTTCAGGCAGTCCTAGGCTATCCCCCCGGATTTATATATATATAATATATATCCGATCGACTCACCAACCCCGAAGGTAAACCTCAAAAACACACGCACACTTAACCAAAAAAAAGAGCTACCGAAAATGGCATCCGAACTGGATCAATTCGCCGACCTGGAACTTTCAAAGGAGGATCGTGAACAGATCTTCGATCCGCCACTGGATCGACAGCAGTTGGAAGGTGCTGGCACCTCAAGGTATGTACCCTCCATACTCGATAACTATGTATTGCCCTACCCATTTAGAACGGATCGAAAAACAGATCGCACAAGGCCTTTCTCTCTATCCGAAATCAAAAATCCAAAATCAAATACCAAAAAAAAACCCCCCCAAAACCCAACCACCAGAAATCATATCCTACCATCTTTCATTGATCTTGATGTAGCTTTTGTAGTTTGTTGTATGATGCTTTTTAGCTTTTTAGTGCGGGTTCCCAGTTGCCAGTTTCTAGTTTCTAATTACCAGTTCCCAGCCACAACCACCCACCTATCCACTTAGAAATGCGATACTCTTACCTCCGATAGATCATATCAAATCAGATCAGATCAGATAGTTTGGCAACTACCGAAAATGGCGCCAAATAGTTTTTAGCTACGCCTCGGCCGCGATTCGATGCGCCCCTCCAAGGTTTTGAGAATAAAAAAAAAACAGAAACCAAAAAGAAAAAAGAAAAAAAAGCGGTGAGGCTCTCATAAGTAATGGGAAACCCGGAAGGGGAAAAAAAAAAGCCTCGGGCGTTCCTTTGAAGAATCGGAATCTGAATCGGAATCTGAATTCGAATCTAAATCCAAGATGCTCCGCTCTCGCTGGCAATCCACAATTGCACAAATTATCACGCCAAATAACATGAAGTTTGCCCCTCACACGGTGGCCCTCCTACTTTGCCACCCTAACACCCTAACACCCCCCTTTGGACATACAACGCTGCTAAATAGCAGCTAATTTCCTGTGATAAATTGGGCATATCGCCGGGAGACAGGCGAAAAGGCCAAAAAAAAAGGAAATACAAATACAAATTCTGAAAAAATGGCTCTCAGGGAGGATCCTCAGATCCTCGTAGCCCCGACCCTCGTCAAGTTCCCCCCTCGAGCCAAGCTCAAGTGGTGTAAGTAAACACTGAGCGACCTAGAACAAGCTGGGGTAGGCGAAACCATCATCATTGTCACATAAAAAAGCCCCGGGAAGCAGTAGCCACTACCTGTCTCGCCCCTCGCCTCTCACACCTCCGATCTGGCGATCCTACGATCTTGCGATCTTACGATCCTCAATCCCGATCCCTAGGATTTCTCGGCCAACCCCCGATCTGACAGAATTGATATACTTGCCGCACGCTGCTACAGAAAAAAGGTCCAAAGGGAGGGAGGAACTTACTTAGCATCCTCCTAGCAAAATCCTATCGTATCGTTTCCCTCCTGACCAAGGAGAGGTGCAAAAAGATCAATGAAGGACAACAACCAATGATCGAAGTTCGACCCAAAGATAATGTTTGTGTTGCACCTCTAAACAGATTAGCATTTATTAATTTCTTTCTTGGGAAGAATCTAAGAGAATCTACAGGGATTATAAGAGTATAAAATGGTATATATAAGCTATATAATGAGGTTCATCTCTGTTTATACATGCTTTAAAGGGTTTAACCTAAGTAACTTATCTAAACAAAAACAGAAAAAATGTCAGGTTATATCCATTATGTGGAATTAACTAGCGAGAAGCAATGATGCTTCAAGGATTTCATATGAAGAGGATTATTCAAAGACCCAGTCTTCTAAGTCCATAAAATGATATTTCATAGATGCTAGGATTGTCCACTACAACATTCTACTATTACTTATAATAACTTAACTTAGAACCCATTAAAAAAACCATATATGTATACCCAATATGATATATATGACGATGTTTTAGATTTATCATGAGGCCAAAAGCCATTTGGGTGGATAAAAACCTGTATTAAAGGTATTTAAAAGTAAGGATCCTAGGATCGATGGAAAGGTTTTAGAAGAATTAGGTCAAATCTACCGATTCGCCCACAAACTTGTTGCTGCATCCCAAGACGAGGATCAAAATGCCGATTCCCGCTGCGGCACAGTTTGTGTTGCGTGCTAAGCCGCTTGTTGCAACAACTGCTAAGCCGGGTAGGCGAACGAAAAAACGAAAAAAAAAGTCCCAATCCCAACTAATTTCCTGCAGGAATGCAAAGTAAACAAAACAGCAGCAGAGTGGTGGCAGAAATGCGAAATAATAAGAAAAATCCAGGGAAAAATGCCCAGAGACTAAAAGAATCTCACAAAAAAGAAGCAAAGCTAAGAACAAAAAAAAAACAGCAGCGAAGGCAGACAACGACAATCTTTTTCTGTAGCAATTGGTTTAATCCGCCAAAGGAAACATGCCGCTGCCGCAGGAGGCATCTTTTGCCAGGTTTGATTTGCTTTTTCTCTGCTTTTGCTGTGCTTTGCTCAGCCTTGCTTTGCTTTGCTTTGCCGTGCTTTGCTTCTAATTTGAACTTGGTCTTGGTCTTGGGATTTTGCTTAGAAAGAAGGGTTGACCCAGAACGCCGGCAATCGAGATGAGATCTCATCTCTGGAATCTGAAATCTGGAATCTGTTCTGTTCGTTCGCTGTGTTGTTGTTGCTGTTGTGTCTTGGTGATCTCATGATCAGGTTTCTCAGGAGAGTTGGCGTTTGTTGGAAATATGATTTTGGCTGAGTTTAGGGGCTTTCCTGCCCGCTTTATTGTGTAGTTTTTGTGTTCTGTGTTTTTTTGTTGTTTTTTTTTTTGTTTTTGCCCCTCGTGGATGGTTATTTTTCTAGTCTTGAAAACACGTTTCTCATATTTCCAACTCGCTCTCATTTTTCTGCGAGTGCGCCGGGCTCAAACATTTTTAATTATACAAGAGGAGGCTTTTCCCTTCTTCTAATGTTTGTTCACTTGCGGATGGGAAGGAGCTGTTTGCTCCTCGCTGCTTGCCAATTTGTCCTTTGCCACTTGGCTGTCTTTTCAGCCTCTGAATCTGAATATGAATTTGAGTCTGCGCTTCTAATCGCAACCCCTTTGCCTTCGGTATATGCGTATCTGTATCTGTATCTTTGCCTCTGCCACTTAGCCCGAAAAAGATGAGGAAGCAGCGGAGCTTGTGGAAGCCAGGAGCAAATTTGATTCCCATCGATTATCAACTCGCAGGGAGCAGGAATCTGCTTCTGCTTCTGCTTCGCTTGCCTGATTCTGATCCTGATCCTGCTGATTCTGCGATTCTGCTACTCGCCTTTTTTGATTGACAGTCAAATTAGTAGAGCTCCTTGGGCGACAGGAGGCTGGATCTGTTTTCCTTCGTTTGGGGGTTGGATTGATTGGATGGATGGATGGATGGATCTAACATCCTAAGCTTAGGGCAACAGCTGCTTTCTGCTCGAAACAACGGAGCCTGACCTTGGTTTATCGCTCCATTCATTCCAATCGCCCCCGCCTTTGTCGTCACTTCACAATGCCAGCCAAAATCGAGCCAAAAACCCGATTCACATGGAACCAGGTTTATGTGTATGCTTCTACATACATGGAGATGATTGTGCACTGAGCGAAACAAATAGAACCTGGTTTTTACTTTCAATAATTTCGAAAATCGATAAGGTTCCTGATGATATATTAACATTTGTTGATACTAGCATATCAAAATCATATCATATCATCATGGGGAAGTTCAAAGATACCTAACAGTTCGCTTAACATATATTAAGATTTTAAATTTCCCCTAAAGAGATTTAAAGCATAGTTTTTACCAGTGCACCTTCGTTGTATAGAATCAAATGAATGAAATCAAGTACTGAGAGAATCGCGGGGCAGCGGGCGGGTACACTTTACCTACATTTGTCCAAAAACAAAATATGCCCTGGCCCATATTGAGTTTGTTTGGGGATAGTTGAGAGTGGGGAGGACTGGAGGAGGATGGGTAAGGCGTGGCCCGCCAAATTTCCGCTGCTTGCGAATTGCGAGTTGAAGTTGTTGCACAGCGGAAGAGCAGAAGGACACCGACTTTGGCAAATCGCTCCGGACAGCAAACAGGATGCACATTTTTCGTTTTGTACTCCTACCCCAGGTAGACAGGTAGCCCAGAATGCTCAAGAGTGCGAGTTGTCAGGTACAAAACAAGAACAGTCTTGGCCTGCCCTAATTTCAAGGTGATGCTGTAACCAGGTTAAGCGTTTGACAGTCGCTCAAGAGGTCTTCGAGGATCCCCTTGTGATTTTCAAATTACGCAGTCCATTGTTCTTTAAAATGTTACTTACTTTCTACTAATTACTAATTAGGTAGCATAGAATCTTTATTATATTATTAAGATATCAATATCTTTTCTTATCTTCGTTACTATTTTTGTTAAACTTCCTTTAATCTTTTGCGAATCTAACAGCGTTGCACTCCGATTAGCAAGTTATCGTTGATCGAACATCGATTATGCTGCATCTAATTTCGAATCATCCTCCTTCCTCTATCTTCCTCCCACCGTCCCTTTCTCACTCTCTGGCGGCAAATTCTCGCTGGCTTCGTTTCTGTTGTTCCTCGCTTCTTCTTTTTTCTACCACATTTTTGTTGGCTCCTTTTTGTGTTTGTGTTCATTAGAAATTTCCAAGAATTCGAACGACAACGCACACATGCGCAGGCCAGACTTGAAGAGAGAGAAGAGAATAGCGAGGTATGAATCTGGATTCGTGTTACTGCTGGCTTAGTTTTCCAAAACCCAAAACCGAAAATGAAAAAAATACAGCCAAGAAACACACGTTTCGTCTGATTTTTGCTACAACGAGAGAAAGAGGTGGCAAGATATGTATGTCTGTAGGAGCGAGGGAGATGGCGCTCGAATTTCTCACTCCAACGTTTTATAGATCGATGCATCACCCGTATTGAACTTGAAATATATCTCAAGATATGTATGTATACGAGCATATGTATGGATGTATGTATTGGTGAAATACCTTTAACCCTTAAAGGATTCAATATTTGCAAAAGAATAGACATTTGTAAATTCGTACATTGCTTTATTTACATATTTTACAAGGACTAAGATATGGTCCTTAAACCTAAAAACCCATCCAAATATATTACATTTCAGTTTCTTAAAAAGCACAATTCGGGATAACCATCTTAACTTAAGTTTAAGGAAAAGGATCCGATCCTAAATGCGATCCGAATGTACTATTGTCCTCGG